AAATGGAATTTGCCACAATCTATAGGTACCCTGAGAATTACTGCTGTTTGATGCATTTTCCGCTCAAAGCAGCCTCCACCTGATTTGGAAATGTTAAGTTGTGGTTAAGAAATAGGGGGAAGGCATATTTCTTGGGGACTCTGCATACCAAGTGGAGAATGTGCACATTGCCTGCAGAATGCACATAACTGTATTTTTATGTTGTGAGCTTCCCTGTGGTCTTTGGCTGAAGGCTGGTATACAAATAAGGGTGGTAATAAATAAATAATAAAATAAAATAAAATACAAAGGGGTGGTAATAAATAAATAAATAAATAATATGCACATTTCTCAAAACCTCTTGGGGATCATGTATAATAGCTGGGGAGTGTACAGAATTCAGCCAAGAGATGCACAGTCCTCAAAGCTTCCTGGGGATTAGGCATACTGACTGGGAAATGTGCACAATTCCCTCTTTGTTATTGTGCACATTAACCACTCCTGATTGGTCACTGTAGGAAAGTGGAAGGCAGACTAGCTGGACCTTAGATCTGAACCAGGCAGGCTCTCTTCCTGCACTTACGGGCTCACATTAAAGGTTCCAATGGGTTCCTTTGACCAAGGATCTTATCCTTCGATGGCCTGCATTTCATTTGAACAAAATAGCTGTGCAAAAACAGTACCTGTCAGAAGTTTGCTTAACCGGATCACAACCCTCTCCATCTTACTCCCCCCCCCTCCTGGACTTGAAAGCAAGAACAGACTTTAAGGAACAGAGCCAACACTTTGTTCGCAACGCTCATATTGTTATCTCTGAGGTTGAGCATGTTAGGATATTTCCGTTCCACCTTAAGAAGGGAGCAGGTTGTTGTGTCACAGCTTGCATATTTCCTGTTCACAGGATGTTTCTGTTTTTGTATATAGCTTTTGTTTCCTCTCTCTGTGCCTGGACATCGAAGCAGGCAGTCATGTTTTTTTCTTTGTTCTGATCAATGCTGAATAAAGTTGTAAATAATGCTCTCCTGGGTGCATCTTTCGCTGTGCGAACTCTGCTGAAAGGGCGTGCACTAGTCTTGGAATGTGGCATGCTATTTCTGAGGCTTGTGTCGCTAATTGACTGATACTGCGTTTCTACGGGAGATCGATGGATCGTCCGGAGACGGCGTGGGGGCATGATGGCCTTTGTCTCCCTGGCAGTATCCCAACAGAGCATCCCCTTATCAAGAATGAGAACTTGGGTTGCAAACAGTTTCTTCTGTCACCACCCAATTATATTCCCTTTTAGACATTCATTGCGTTGCTGTGGCTGGGTAGCTCAGTCAGTAGACCATGATACTCTTAATCTTAGGGTAGTGGGTTCAAGTCCCATGTTGGACTAGAAGACCCTTGTGGTCCCTTCAGACTCTATAATTCTATTATTTTCTCCCCATCGCTTCTTGGCTTTATGCAAAAATCATAACAGGTAGCATTTTGGGAGACTCCAAAAGTGTTTTCCATGTACAACTACTATGTAAGGTAGGTCAGTTTTATCCCCTATTATAGATAAAGAACTGAGGTTTGAAGGAGCTGGAGTGAGAAAATTCAAAGAGAAGGAAGTTCATACCAAGTTCTTCATCAAGCTGCCTAAGTCATTCAAAATGACCCTGGCTCTAATCCAGGACTGGGGAATCTGTGACCCTCTAACTGTAGCGGGACTTCATCTCCCATCATTCCCAGCTGATCATGGCAAATGGTGATGGAGTCCAACAATGCCTGGAGGGTCACAGATTCCCCATCCCTGATCGAACTCTCCCAACTGCTATCAGGCTTCAGGCAATCAGCTTCCTCCCCTTGTGGCAGTAGATAAGCAGAACAAAGGAAAAGGAGTCTTCTTACCAGTTAGAAACTTTAATAATTACAGTGAGAGAACAAAGAACCCATCTCCTAGAATGGCGGTGCTCCCAATTAAGGATTCCACCCCTTACGTCCCTATTGATCTACGTCACTTCTACGTCTTGTAATCTGAGCTTGTTCCCTCTGTGTTTTGCGTGCTTTCTGCTCTGCAACTTTCTGAGCTCTTCTTGACCTTGGGGAGAGCGGAGGAATGCTTTCCAGAGACTGTGAATCTGTTAACTCTCTCTCTCCCACTGTTTCTTCTGCTTGCTGTTCCCCATCCAGTATTTCCCAGCTTCTGCCTTCTGAACTATGCCCCTCTGCAAACCACTGTTCCAAATCTATACTGTCCTCCTGCTCCTGGTAAGATTCAGGATCTGGAGCAGGAGTGTGGGGGGGGGAGGCTCCCACAATTCCTCCTCTGTGCAGTCCTCCTCAGCACAGTCCCTGACAACTGCTTTTGCACTCTTGACATTATGACAGAGATCCTTGCAAAGTGATCCCACAGTCGACTTCCTAGCCTTTCAAAGGTTGTGGAAATGTTTTCTGGCCAGTGTGAGTTGTTGGCATCATCCTTCTCCAGGGCTCCCCTCTCTCCCCCCAGGCTTCCGAGAAGTGAAAGCGTGGAAACGTATGGAATGGGGGCACCTGCCACATATGAGCATCTGCACATTAATCCATGTGCGCACGTGAACAGCAACGTGCAGTGCGGCGCATGGCCTCCCGCTTCCCATATTGCGACAGCTGAGAGGTATTATGACAAGTTGATAATGCGATGTTCCAGTGCGTCCATTGTATGACAGTGAGGCAGATGGCGGAGGAATGCAGCAAGGTGGGCCAGCATCTGCAGCACTAAGGACAGCTCCTAGTGACCCACTGCCTGCAATAAAGGCTCAAGCTCTGGGCTATGCGCTGGTCACAAGACTCAGTTTGAACTTCCCTGTCTGTGTGTTGGCTATCTATGGCTTGGTGGGTGACAAGCTCAGCAACTAGGGAGATCTTTGTTCCTTAATCATCAGCATTTGAGCAGGACTCTCTCCCAATATACACATGTCAGAATGCCATTTTGCCCAATAAACACATTTGTGCAAAGCCGTTTCTCCTAAAATAATGCCATTTGCGGATGTTATTTTTTGCTAATGTCTGCATTCATATGCACACTGTGTTCCTGAGGGAAGTGAGCTTAACATCTCTGGGAAGCTGAGTGATGGGGCTGTCAACATGTTAACTGCTGTCAGAATGGCCCCGCTCCCCTGCTTAGGCAGCAAGCCTCTCTCAGCTTGCATATTCAGGCTCGGCGAGAGAGAAGGCTGACCTCTCCGCTGCGGCGGACGAGAGAAGTTGGGTATCTCAAGGAACACGCTGTGGCAGGAAAGACTGACATGACAGACGCATACCCCCATTTCCATCTGTGAAATGCTCCAGAAAGGATGGGCAGACTCAGCCCAGGATCTGAAGGCGGCCCCTCGGCCCTCTCTGTCTGGCCCTTGGGCGCCTCCATAGGCCACACCCCTTTTCTGCCACTAATTGTTACCCTCTGCGTTTTTGCTGGAATGTGTCCTCTGATAATACCTCTTGCTTGCCTGGACGGAAGACATGAGAGACAGAGAGAGAGAGAGAGAGAGAAATTTACCAGTACAAAATTTACATTCATTAGCTGTGACACCTGCATTGCAGAGGGTTGAACTAAATGACCCTGTGGGGACCCTTCCAGCTCCACAGTTCATTTCCCCCCCCCCAAAAAAAATATTGATTAAAGAAAATTTAATACAGTCTCTGCAAAACAAATAAATAAAGCATTGAATTTATAGCCTCATTTTACATAATCTCAAAACATTAATGGTCCATGTAGGCTCTCCACAGACATGTTTGTGAAATTGGTGGGGAAAATTTGCTATCTTACATATTAAAAGAAGGGGGGCGGGTTTCATCAAAGGTGTGTCTCTCTTGATAACACCTTTAGTAACCCTTCTAAGCCCAGTTAGTCGCTCTGAAATAGTCGCGTCCCAGATATTGTTGAACCATGCCTCGAGGTTGTACCTCGAGTATAGCTGTACATTTCTATGATTCACTTTCACCTCTGTCCCCACCCACTTGTGGCCCCTGGAACGTTTCCCTGTAGGAAATGCGGCCCTCCGGCTGAAAAAGGCCCTCCTCCCTTCAAAGCTTGACTGGCAGGTGAAGATGAGAGAATACTTGGAACTTGCGAAAATGACTGGGAGAACAAGAGGAAACTCAAACCAGAAAGTGTGTGAAGAACAGATAACATTTAAAGAATATCTAAAACAACATTGTGAAAATGCGAATCTCCTGACAGGTCTAGATGGAATCTTGATTAAGGAAAACTAAAAATGTAGAAAAATTTCTGGATATGTAACAGATATAACAAGAAATGCGTAACGGTTAAAAATATGTAGAAAGCGGGGGCCACCAGGTGGCG